CAAGTCACACATATTTCTAAATACAAATTCAATCCAAACAACGTTCATATTAAAAATAAACACATAATGATAAATTCGTTACAATGGTCAGTATCTAAATTAAATACAACAACAAGTCATAACTGATGGTTATGACATAGACCTTTCTATTATCAAGTTTACTTAGGCATCAACATGTGTCTGAATATATAGTCCTCGAAAGTTGAAAGCACTCATAATCAAGTTAATAGTTTTTGGCAATAGTATCTTCTCAAAGTTGTAAATGTATTGAGATGTATTTTTATTTCTATATCACGGTTTAAATGAACCAAGTTAAATATATTTATTTACAGCCATATGTCAGTTTCAAATATTCATAGAACTAAGTAAATGTAAGCTGCATATATACTGCTGTTAAGAATAATATTTGTAACCTCTGTTTTAATTGATGGTCAGTATGCATCTATAATAAAAATTCCACATTTTTCTTTTTGTTTTTAGGTTCAACTTTATATATTTGTGACAACAACCAGAAGATTGCATTGGATTTTACCTTTTTAGTTTGTCACTTAGTTCTAAGGGTATTGTTTTTTTTGTTTGTGTTTGACAAACAACAACATCAAGCTTTTTTGAGGTAAAATGAAAACATAATGCTTGTACTGGCAGATCTGTTCATGAATACAGGTATTCATAATTTTCAGAACTGTATTCTAAATAAAGAAATGATATATATCAAGAAAAGCAACCTATAAAACCATTCTCTAGTTCACTAGAAATTCACTATCCATAACTTTTTTCAGGTACATTTGGTTTTGTGTTATTTGAGTCTTATAAATTTGAAAACGATAAGCAGAACACTACCTACTACAAAGACTGTATGTCAAGAAATTTAAAATTTGGTTTGATCAAATTGTTGTAAAGGTCTTTATTACATATGTGTGTGTGTTTTCTTTACAGTATGTTACTTTCAGTAATTCCTTTGCAATAACAATTTAATGCTTTTTTCTAAAACATTTTGTATTCCCAATTGGAAAAAAAAAAACTTATTGGCTTTAAACAACTCTGATTTGAATGTTGTTGATTGTGTGAAGATATTTTGAATTAAAGAAAATCAAAGGACATGAAAAATGTAAGATAATCTTGATATAATTTTCTTTGTGTGTTTTAAATTTTTTTCCTTCAAATTTAAAGCATCATTATACATATACTTGAAAGACCTTGGAAGAGTAACTTTACTGTGAATTTTTTTAGGTTTATATGATAATATGCTTTTCAAACTTTCTTGATCTAATAGTACAATGATTTGTAAAAAAGGCAATATTCAAAAACTAATTGTTACATAGATTAAAAATTTTCCTGTGTGAGACCGTAATTTGTTGACTGTAAAGCAACTTGTTAAAAAAAAAAAAAATCTGGGAAGTGATACATGTTTTCAGCACTTTGTTAGTTTCATACAAACGTTGGAATTGTGAGCTGTATTATTATACTTGAATTTACTCTAGTGTAAGTACCATGCTACAGTATTATCCTCTTCAGGTTTCCAAGTGCTGTACGTAAAGATGAACTCTCATATGATTCACCATTTACATTTAGAAATTTTAATAAGATAAATGTGATTATCAAGTAACTTACATTATAAAATGACAATAATTTTAACGGTATTTCAGGTTTTTTACCATTGGTTGAAAGAAAAGGTATTGTGATAAAGCACAAAGTTTTTCACAAATTATCTAGACTGATATCGTGAAAATGTGACTCGTTCTGACCCACTCACTGAGTCACTGTTAATAAGTTAATATTGGAGTACTTTTTTTTTTTTAATACAGTAAGTTATTCTACTAAAATAATCAAGTATTTATTAAAACAAAAACATTTATTGTTCACATCTGCACAGAAAACTCATTACGCATTGTTCATTACTTCTCATTTTATCATTAAGAACACAAAACTTTCATATACTTGGTGTAAATGGTCATACTTACTTCGTATTTTATCTATTGTACCTGTATCTTAGTGTGAAGCATTAAAGAAAACATGAATATCTGTACCTAATCTAATTTTGTTTTATCTTGCTGTTACTTCTGAAGCTAGCAACTGATTATTATTGTGTTGAAATATTATGAAATGCAGAATGGACATTCACTCATATGTTGAGCACTCCCTACTCTGAAAGAAATATTGCAACTCCCCACGTGTTTTTCAGTGGACCCCTTTGTAATTCAGTGTGAAATGTTTTCATACATTGACAAGAAATATAAACTGACTTAAATAAATATGGAAAACATATTTTTTACTCTCATCACTTTTTTAAAATGATGTTTGATTATGTATATGATGGTGGTTATACAAATGAGGATATTTGGTAATGTGTGTCACTAAAATTATGTAAATATCTGAGTTTTTACTAGTCATTTAGTATGGAGTTGGTTGATATAAGGATGGCTTTGGAAATTGGAAAGAAAAATTTTTTCATGGTGTTTAGTCTGCATCATACACATATTTTGAGACACAACCCAGGCTGTTATCTCCCTGCTAGAATGTAGCTGAGTAGCCTTTAATTATTACTTATTATGATCTTGTCTTTCAAATCTTCAAATATCTAGTAAAATGTATTGACCTAGTCTAATGGTAATTAATTTATAATCAAAGAATGTATTCTAAATCTGAGATAGTCATTGTAATCTATTTTTAGTTTCTGGTCAATTTATATTGTTCATATAGATAAACATTTAACTAAGTTATGATCAACGTATGCCTTTTTGAAATATAAGAAGCACACATGAAATCTGAGAACTATTTGATACTAAAATGAAGAAGTGAAAAGATGTCTAATCATCGCTATGTATAATGTACCTTCTCTGTCAAACTTTGAAGAGTTGTTTTCAGACAGTAATGTTAATGACATAATGGTTGTCTGAGCAATGAAATGCGGTGTCAAATATTATGTGTTAGGTTTCATTCTTGCACACGAAGCTGTTACTGACATTGGATATAGTTTAGGAAAAGCCAACACATCTAAAACATTTAATATAATGCAGCAGAAATTGGTTGTGTAATACACATTTATGTACTTAATTGCGTCATTAAATTCTTGCTCCAGGATCAATTTATATTAAAGCCTTTATGCATTTGTCGAAATTAAAAGAGGAAGGAATATTCCTCTATTGAGAAGTGGAATACAACATGCACAAAGCTGGCTAATTGGCCAATTTGGAGATCTCTATTGTTCTGGTATAGCCATCATCTAGGACTCTAGACAGAGGGGCCTACTGCCTTAAGCAGCTATTCTTAGCTAAATATGTAGTGGGATTGATTAATTCTTATGTAACGCACTCGTAAATGAGAGTGTTAGCAACCACCCTTGAACCCGAGACCCCAGGATATCAAGTCCGATACGATAACTAACGAAGCACGCATGGACCCTTCAGATGGATGGACAATTTTTAATTTTCTGTAATCCGTGTGATGGTTTTATTACGAATTTTTCACCAACTTTCATTTTGTTTGCTTTAGAATTCTCACGCAAAGTTACACAAAGGACTATTTGCGCATAGCCATCTCTAATTTAGAAGTGATAAAGAGTATCAGAAAAGCAGCTAGTCAACATCATTCACTGCAAATTCTTAGGGTATTTTTGTTTAACCGAATAGTGAGGTTTAACTGTCTTGTAGAGTACCCATAGCCAGAGACGGTTTTAAGATCTCATTGTTGCAATATTTTAATCACATGCCACTTGTCAGTGAGTAAAGTAACTCAATAGACATACATAAACAGCCGCAATTTTCATTGTTTAAAATTGGATAATTCTACATTTTTCGTGATTTTAACTATATTTGGAGGTCCCTTTGATGGCCTCAATAGATTTTGTGGGGCAAACACTAATATTGAATAACTGATAGTTATGTAAAATACAGTGTTATCATAAAAATGTTAAGCCCATTAAATGAAGTACTATCACAAGTAAAAGTTTTGAAGATGAAGTATTTTACATCATTAAATGAGTAAAACTGCGAGAATCTGTTTTCAGGTATGTTTTATTTTACTGTCTTCTTTTAAGTTCATAAATTTAAGTATAGGAATATGTGTTTTTATTATCACAGGAATTTTTTACGTTAAACTTTTTTTATATTTTAACTAATAAGAATTTGTTGATGGTAAATTGCTGCGTTTACCATGGCTTGTGTAATTCATTTTACTATAACCAACAATAAACACCAAACATTATTAAATATTCTATGATCGGCGTCGCATTTTGAATAAACAAACGTACGTTGACACTATAACACCTTGTAATATAGTTCCATGTACTTATGCAGTCGTATTTTAAATAATAATAACCAAACAATATGAATTATCCCCCCCCCCCCGCATTTGTTTTCGTGATTGGTCGAAAATACATCACGTGGTATGAAATGTTAATCACTGTTGCTTCAAAGCCGAGCGTAATGTCGGGGGTAGAACTTTGCAGACAACAATTTTTTTTTCTCATCAAACTGAAAACGCGCTGATTCGTTTAGGCCTAATTTATAAACAATTTGCTCAAACCCGTAAATTGAATCTGGACAGATGGCGTAAAATTTCAGTTAGTCACAGATGAAGAGCTGCAGATTCGTTTGGGCAGCAGGACTTTGTAATTGTAGATTTTTTTTTTGAAGTACGGTAAAAACACTGATTTATTCAGGCTTAATTCACGTACTTAATACGTTTATTGGTATGATAACATGATGATCGGCTACTATATTTTGAAATTAGAAAATTCTAAATCTTATCACATTATTATTATTCATTCTTAAAACGAAACTGAAATGTTGTACTTTAGAACTGGAATGGTCAACTTCTTTCTGCCCGTAGGTCAGTTTCTTACCTAGTCTCGGGCCGAAACTATATGACCGGGTAAAGAACGCTCAGAGTCGGAGTATTTGCTTGATTTGTTTAAATTTTAATTCCTACTGTCTGCCGTAGTCCCTCAGTTAATTATATAGTTTGAATAAATAGCTGAGTTAACATTTGAAGAATGTTCTCAGAACTGTTACGGGACTGGTTTGCTTGGACACGGTTTCGTTTTTTGTTTCCCTTTTGCCACAATATATTATGATAAAAGAAAAACAGGGACTGGATAAAATACCTTCGCGGGCCGCCAACTAGCCTCTCTTTAGTTCTTGATCGAATCTGTTGCTATTAGTGGGCCTAATTATCTGATACATATAGTGATATCAGTTAATTTGAAAATACAACAAATATTTAAGGATTTATGCATGTGCCTAATAATGCCAATGGTAACACTGTTTCCACTTAACGTAGTGTAAGCCAACTAGTTGTTTTCATCTAACCATGAAAAAGAATTATGGATATGTTCCAAAAGGCTTGCTACATACTAATGGTGCTTCCATCTATGAGCCGATAAACGCAACTCACTCTCTGTGGATCTTAAGTTTCATAATGGATTGGGGCGAATCTTTGACTGCTTTGAATACGTAGGATTGGTACCACAATAATTACATCGTCATATCGAACGAACAACTCACTCAGCTCCTGTCGTAGTGTTTGGTCCTTTCATAATGGATTGGGGCGAATCTTTAACTGCTTTGAATACGTAGGATTGGTACCACAATAATTACATCGTCATATTGAACGAACAACTCACTCAGCTCCTGTCATACTGTTTGGTCCTTTCATAATGGATTGGGGTGAATCTTTGACTGCTTTGAATACGTAGGATTGGTACCACAATAATTACATCGTCATACTGAACGAACAACTCACTCAGCTCCTGTCATAGTGTTTGGTCCTTTCATAATGGATTGGGGTGAATCTTTGACTGCTTTGAATACGTAGGATTGGTACCACAATAATTACATCGTCATACTGAACGAACAACTCACTCAGCTCCTGTCATAGTGTTTGGTCCAAATTGATCAGAACCAGTGATCTCAGATGTTCTAGCAGCATATCTTTGCTCTTAGATATGATGAAATCAAAGGAACCGTAGATCTATATCCTTCAGACAGATAACTATTCAAATAAGCGGATCCTGCTTTCTGCACAAAAACAGTGTTTTACGCATTCGTTCTATCATTAAAATGATAAATTACTGTACCATGCGTGTGTAGTACACCACAGAAAGGCACTTGTAAAGTCGGACGTACTATACATAAATATATGACAACGTTGTTAAAAGTATAAATATGCTAAAATCAATAAAATAAACATGTTTCGCTGGCTACAGCCAACCGTCTTCAGGAAAAAGTGCAGTCAATTCAAAGTTACATCGATAGTTAAAGGATTCTTCCGTTCATTATACATTCACAAACGTCATGAACCTGTGCACAACATATAATTTAGTTTTAGTCCAAGGGAAGAGAGTGAAAAAAAACTATCTTCAAACTTGGTTGAAAACCGTTCACTGTCCATGTTCATAAAGTTGTTCATATCTCTTTTTCCCTAATTCATCTGTGTCTACTGCTGCCTCAGTTTAAATTCATGGGTAAAACAGAACGAACAGCTCTGGTAGTTTTAGGCTGTAGTTCTCCTCCATGAACTTACTGTTGGATCGAGACTGTGGACATAACCCATAGCCCTGGGCACGAGCGAGAGCGCCCACACGTAGAAGAAGACTTCTCCTAGATGTACCACATTCTCAGATAATAGCCATTCTCTTCAGCAACCTTCTGCCCATACTTTCTTCTTTTTGAAAAATGCCACTTATAAAATTTATTCACGCTCAAACTAAGGTTATATGAGAGTACGAGAATAACATAGAAAACTACGCACAAACATTTAAATCTTACTACTTTATTCTGTGGTATTTTTTAGTACACTGATTTCTGGCAGGTGAGAATACTAACTTCTGTAACAAGAGGTAAATGGATTGTCAGAAAATGTGTTACGGAGTTAAAGTGAATTCTGACCTGACTGAATTGAATAAAGATAATGAACATACATTTTTACATTACAACAACAACAACAACTATTTTTACAGTGGCTCAGCGGTATGTCTGATGACTTCTAACGCTAAAAACCGGGTTTCGATACTCTTGGTGGGCACTGATAAC